GCTGTGCCGGGGGGCTGGGCCTCGGGCAGCACCTCTCGCTCCCGCCGAGCTCCTGGAAGGCAGCTGTAGGTAAAACTTGGCCTTTCCCAGGGCGTGGAAGGGCGCGCTGCGAGGCCTCCCCGGCCTGCGGGATGGGGCGTTTCGGGCAGGCCTCGCCGTACGTGGGACCGCTCTGGGTTGTTGAGGTTGCCCCGAACCTCCTCCTCGGGGCCCTCGGCGAAGGGGAAAGGCGCAGGAGGAGAACCAGAACGGCTCGGGGCTGCTTACCTGTTAACCTTGGCCTGCGGAGCCTGCTTGAAGAGAAAAACAGGAGTACTAAGCCCAAAATACTGTATGAGGACCCTTGTTAGAACACCTTCAGAGCTCTCCTGAAGGTTTTCGGTGCTACAACTCTAAAGCCTGTACAAGAAGTAAAGCTGATTAGTGCCAGCTCGTCATATGGTAAGATAGTATACAGTAGATTGGATAGTTTCATCCTATTAAATATGCCAGTTCCACATTTTTGCATTTTGAGCTTACGAACTCGTGCTGAAACCATTTTACGATACGCAAGTAGTCAAGTGAAGTCGTCATATTGTATGGCTTTGCACGTCATATTAGAGTACTATAGAAATAAATCCCATTTCAGTCCTACAAACACTACTAGTGCTACAAATCATCAGATATTCTTTTGTTATTTCTGTAACACGGTTAGGATAGCGGTGTTTCTTTGCCTGTATTGTGCTGAAATATAACGTAAGTAGCTGTACTGTATAAACTTACAAAGTTTATATGCAACACTCGTTTTGTACTTTTTCTTGAGGTTGTCAATTTGCTTTTCATACCGTCTATCCTGCATTCTTATTTGAATGTTTTTAGCTATTCCTGCAAAAGAAATTACTTCTGTTGCATATAGCAGAAAATTTTTCCAGTTCTATAGCACTGAAAATTGTTAGGTACTAAATAATATTAATACCAAGATTCACAACCTTGGCATAAATTGCATGTTCAACTGTGGAGAAGCTATAAAAGCGTCTTTGATCTTTAATTTGTTAACATTAAAGAATACAGAAATTCTCTCTCGTGACATTCAGTAAAGTAAATTCTACAAAAACAAAAAGGGAGCCAGAGAGCAGGAACATCCATATAGGTTAAAGATTTTAAAATGTAATAAAATGTCTTGATATGTGCAGACAGTTTTATTTTTCAAGAACCTGTTTCAAGGCCAAACGTAGCTCATGAGTTTTCAGTAGCAGCTCTCAAAGATGCAGATGACTTTTGACAGAATTATATCTCATTGACTTGTAAATCTTATAACTTTATGCTTCAGCTGTTCTTCACCTACTTTCAGTCATATAGGCTACCTTCTGCAGTAATTGACACTTGTTTGAGGTGTGCCTATTTGATACTGTGTTCTTCTGGTAACATAAATTAGCTGGTTTGTATGTAGTTTGGGAGGGTTACTGTTGGAAAATATTTTCTAGGAGGTCAACCAGCCAACCAGATTTTTTCATTTTATAACACAGGATTAATTGACATTGGAGAGACATCCCTGTATCCAGAAAATTTACCTCCTGAAGAGGTTTTGGAGCTGGAAAACAAAGCTGTCCTCTGTAATCTAGAGCAGAAATACTTGACTGTTGTTTCAAATCCACGATGGCTGCTGGAACCAATTCCTGCCAGAGGGAGCAGAGGTATATGGCAGGTGGACATCCCTGAAGAATTGATTCCTCCAGAATCATAGGAGTTGCCCCCTGCTATATTTTTTCCTTTCTGAATGCAAACTTGTGATTCACCAGTCAGCATCTTGAATGCAAGTGAATTATTTAGGATTCCTTTCCAAAGGTAATTGTCTGAAATAATAAATATATTTGTAGAACAACTGTTTTGAGACAAAATAATGAAGATCTCATTCTTACGACCATTACCGGAAGATAGTTATGATTTTACTAAATCATAATAAATGTGACTTTTTAATACATGGGTGATGTATTTTATGCGAATTTAAAATGCGAGTAAATACAGGCATTTTATAAGTGATGTACCTATATGTGATTATACAAGGAAAAAAGTCATAGGATCCTTGAAAAAACTGAATGATGGATCCTTGAAAAAACTGAATGATAATGGAGAGCAAGCTGTCACCAGTAATACATTTATGTGTTTCACAGCCCATTCGTACATGTGTGGCATCACTGGGAAGGAAAGCATTTGAGATAAAGCTAGTCCTATGGGCTTCTCAAGTGGAGGCAGAAATTGACAGGATGGTGTTTGTGCATAGGCTGTCATGAATGTGCTGTAAATATAAAATTTCCAGGAAAGACCACATTTTTCTCATGCACGGATTGGGTACACTGCATGTGCATATGATGGCAGGGAGCAGCCTGCAGTATGTGGCTCTGGGAACTGATAGTAAGCCTTTGTAGAAAGGCCTTTGTCAGGAAGAAGGTGCTTGTACAAAATAACTATTATAACTTTTTTCTCATTTAAGATAGGAAATATTCATTTTTAAAATGTTAAAAAGACAAGTGTGAGGAGTAAGTGGTCCTCAGCTGACCTTAATTAGGTGTTTTTAAGGCAATACCTAGATACAAGAGTGAAGCCAGCTTTCCCACATGAAACAGAATAATAATAACATAGTGCTATTTACTTCCAGGTGAAATTCTGTTTCACCTCTTAGTTCTAAAAGCATATCTTTTAAGAATACTTTAAAAAAAGCGTAATTTGATCTCCCAAATCAGTTGGAACCTAATCCCATTACTGAAGTCAGTAGCTTTACTGTTGATTCCATTAGGCGAGAGGTTTGACCTGTAGTCATGTTACGCAGGTGGCTACAATGGAAAGGAAGGAAATGGTTTCAGTGCTTGAAATTTGATTTCAAAGATTGCTCACCAGCAAAGTAACCTAGAATAGTAGTGTCTTTTTCAAGATATTTGATACAATATGATAATTTCTAAATCCCTTTCCCTTTATTTATTTATTTTTAACAAGCATAGACCTTTTGATCAATGAAAATGAATGAGACCAATCTCTTTTGGTTTTGGTCTGTTGATTTTATAGTTCTCTTATCTTAGGACCTGATTTAGAACATCTTTCAGTGATCAGCTTGGACTACGTAGCACTGCATGTTTACCATGAACTTATGAACTTGTAATCTTATTTCTTATGATAGTTAACATAAATCACTGTAAAGTGTGGACCGTCTTCCACAGCATGTGTTACGAGTCTGCTATAACACAAAAAATGTAATCCGCTGTACTGTGAAAAGGAAGGGGATCATGAAGTAGCATTTGGTATAAATACTTCAGTTAAACCCCGGTCTCTAAACTAAGCCTTAGTAAATGCTTTTATCGGAGGTTATTACTTCAATAACAGAAGAATGGATTCTCCCCTGCCCTCCACAGCAGAGCCTTGGCTCTATGACACTGCTATATGACAAGAAGAGTTCCAGTACTTCTAAGCTCTTTATACCTTGGCACACCCTCTGGAGAACTCTTACCCTAGTCTTACTCTCTACTGATAAGAATTTAAGCTTGATTGTTACGAAAAATCTTTAAATTGCTTGTAGATCAGTTGTTTCTACTTAAATAGTTTTTGATTGCTGAAACACAAATTCAACCTGAGATTCCATTGTATAAATAGGACAGGACAATTAGGAAATATTTATTTTTTATTCAGATGGTTTAATTGCATATTTGTTAGGCTTTATGCCCTTGGCATATGCAACTTAAAAAAATAGCTATTTATCTATGATATCCCATGTATTCAGTAGTTTTGGGTCCAACTCCTTTGCCTACAGGTGCACTATTTGAAGTACAGTTGCAATTAGGGCAATGATGGTATGTTGGGCTTCGATGGTGAGATGACCTTGACATAGAAATAGCAGAGGCTGCTGCAATCATAGGCATTGAAAACCATGGGTTACAAAAGGGAAGCAGACTAGCCCAGTGAGCCTGCATAGCTGATAAATCTGGATACATGGATGGAAAGGCAGGAAGTCCCATAACAGGTCTAAAAGGACTGTTTGGTACAGGCGGTATAACATGGTATAGTGAAGTAGCAGATGTAGTTGTAGTGGAATCAGTATCCTGGATGCCAACTCGAGTGTGGCTGCTGTGCTGTGGTAAATGGAAAGGGGCCAGCTGACTTAACTCATCCCTGTCTTCTGCTACAGCAGGGTCTGACAGGCTCAGTGAAGTTGTATGTGAGGACGCATAACCACTTTTGATTCGGGTAGTTGCTTTAGCAAGTCCCTTTGTAATTGTGGACTTCCTTGGTGCAGGTACCTGGGTGTTCTCCTTTGGAGCTGCTGTGAACAGATTGTTCTCCTCTGCAGAAGCAGTTCCTAAAGCAGGTTGAACATCAGGGCTTCTTCCTTCGCTTCTCAGGTGGTTTTCATTAAAATCTTGATTCAGTGAGAATGCAGCTGGTGGTTTATTTTTTATGCCAACTCTTCGCTTGCACCTTATTAGCAAGTGGGGATAACCTCTCTTAAAATTTGGGTTATAATAGAACTGTAACTAAAAAAGGCAAATGGGAAGAATTAATTGCCAACACTTCCAGATTCAAAAACACAAAGGTATGATAACTAAGAATTTTAATCACAAAAGACAAACATTGATATTAAAAAGGGATATCAGGGGCATTTTAAACCTCAGCTTTAGGCTGAATAAAATTTTAAGATACAGTTCTGTTAAGTAATAACTACCCCTGGGTTTTAGCTGTTTTGGAGTGTAGGATTTTCAAAAGCATAAAAACTGATTTAGAAACCTAAATGCCACTAATTTTCAGCAAAAGTAGAGAATGAATGCTTAGGTAGTAGTATGATGCTGATGTGTATCTTCTCAGCAAATGCCAGAAGAAAGACATTTTAGATCTGGTACAACAAAATACGCGATAACAAAAAAAAAATCATGATCATGATCAGAAAACCTCTTTTACATGTATTCAAAGTAATCAGAAATAACCTGAATTTATTTTAGCATCATTTTTACTACTCAGAAATCTTACCTCATAAATTCATGAAAATACCTGAGAAATGAGTTAAAATCAGAACATTTACTAACATCCTCATCTCCTAAATCATAAGGACTTTTTTTTTTGTACATAGGAAATACACCACACTAGAATATTCTAAGTTATTTCACGTTTGGAGAAACTGACATACCTTGCTAAAAGCAGAAGCTGCTGTTTCTTCTGCTAGAAATTCAGCAAGTGAGGCAGATCTTTGAAAATCCTGTCGCATTTTGCTAAATCCATAAAGGTTAAGCTGACGAATGAAACTTTTCATGCAGTCAGTTTCAAAAATTCTCAGAGGTCCTCTCCTTTCTAGCACCTCCTTTTTGAAGAACTCTTCATCAATCACTACACAGTTCCCATCATCATCCCACCAAATTGACTTAAACTGATCACTTTCAACAATTTTCCAGAGTTTCTTTGGAAAGGTGAGGAATGAAAAATCATTGGCTTTGGTGGAGCTATCCTCAGAAAGATTAAGACGTGGTCTTTTTGCCCAGGGTCCATCACTCAAAGTCTGAAAAGCATTTTCTTCTATTACAGATCTTAAGGCAGAATCGCAAGCTGCTGTTTTATCATGTACCGGACTGACAGAAGAAATTGAGATTACAGAATCAACTAGTTTATCCCGAACAGAAACACAGGATGTTTCTGCTAGAGAGAGGTCCATTTCAGATTCTTTTTTCTTGCTTTGACTAAATTTTTCAGATGTAGCCATTTGCACTACTTCATGCTGCTAGACAGCAAGATAAAATAAAACGATGCTAGCTTACTGTGAATTTCAATAGAGAATTCTACAACATCATAATGATACCATTGTTGTCTTGCCATGACATCATAAAATAGCAGGGTTTCCTAGCAAAATGAAGCAGTAACAAAAATTGCTGAATTGAAGTTGTTGTTTTCAATTTATAGAGCTACAGATTTTTTTGACTCAATAGTCAAAGAGTAAATAAAACTTAATTTGAATTTAACATATAATGATAGGACAGTGCTGTATTCAATTGAGTCTAGTAGTGGGTCCACAATACGGACATTTGTGGTGTTAGGAAGAGTGACACATTCAGTCCTGAAGTTTTCCAGCAAATGCAGAAGTGTTTGTACGGTCTTTACTTAACGTCATGTAGACGCTAACTGTAAAGAAACATGATCCAAAGCGTTTAAGCTACCTAAACTGTTGGTTCACGAAAATGCAAAGTGCAGCTGCAGTTACGCTAGAGTATCAGGCATCTGCTATTTGCAAGAAGCATATGCCAGGAAAAGAGTAAGGTAGTCTAAAAAGCAGTGAAAGGCTTGGAAAGAAGGAGGAAGAGGAGAATTCATCCAATCATCCACTTTTTCAAGTGGTAAAGAAACATATAACAAAACCAGGATGACAAATTCTGCAGGAAAAGCAGAAAGAAGAAAGAAATGAAAGCTAATAGACAAGGACTTGACGTTTACCTCCCTCCTAGGGACAGGAGGTATGCCTTTTCACTACAGTAATGCAACGCCTCAGTAAATAGAATCCTTTTCATTGCTGCTTTAGAGCAGAAGATGTAATGATTGTCACTTCCTAGCACAAGATGCGATTCAGGGCTAACCTGTTAGCAGAAATGAGCTAGAGGTACAGTAACTGACAAGAAGCAACACTGAACCGCCTCTATTTCCCACCATTATATGCTCTCTAGGGAAGAAAAGCTATAGGCCATCCACTTTCCAAAGCAAGGAGGAAGGTAGCAAATATCTCAACTAGTAGTATTAATTACAAGATAGACTGTTCTTTGCTATGTAATTTAAGGAACAGTCTAGTTTGAAATTCAGGAGACAGCAATGAAAGTGAAAGGCAACTCCAGATTTGCCAGACCATCCTCCTGCCAGGCTCAGCAAGTAGAAGATGCTCTTGCTTAACACACTCGCATGTTTTTAGGCCTCCAATAGCCACTCCCCAGCCTCAGTGGATAATCTGTTCTTGAGATACAGCACAAGAGAGTATTGCCATAGATAAAGATAGGAAACTTTAAGAAGTGGTAATGCAGTATATATTTCAAATATCAAGAAGCTAATGCAGTGTATATTTCAAAGACTAATTACTCCAAAGCATTAGGAGTCAAAGAAAATCTGTCAAAGCATATCTTTCTTCAGATGAGAAAATGCTATATCAACAGGGACCAGTTCATATTTTTAAACTGTTTAATCATTTATACTGAACCTATCTAACAAGAAATCTGGTAATTAATACCAAGTTATGATATTTATACCAGCTAACAGCTGTAAAACTTTTAACTAATTGCTTCTGGCACAGATTACACACATCGTACAAGAAGAAACAGTTTATTAAACAGCTGAAACAATAGGAGAATGGTGTATGTGTTGCTTAAGGGAAGTTAGAACATGAAGCTTGAAAAGCAACGCTTAGCCCCCTCCCAGCCCCCCCCAGTGCAAAAGTTGAAATATTTACATAATAATTTACATAGCTAACTCAAAAAAATAATGTAAGCTGTTATACATTCTATTTCAAGAAAAAGCTTTCAAGTCTTGCCTGAGAAGCGCAACACTCCTGTGCCTCTGTAGTTAAGATAATGATTGTGGCTGAACAGGAAAAAAAAGTGAAGAGATACTACACTAACACATACCCACAGAACTCGAAACTTGAAAATCAAGTGTACATTTAAGACCTGAAAGACATCTGCAATAGCATAGGCATTTCATACAGGCTTTTTAAAAAAATACTTTTACACAATATTTATACTGTACAGACTAGACTTTTAAACAGAATATATTACACTGCTAAAATGTTCATATAAATACTATACAGCCAAGTGTGTAATCAATCCATTGGGAAGGTTCACAAATTAGACAGCCATTTCTCTCTACGGGGAACTGTCACAATGCTCAGAAAACTTGAGGAACAATGAGTCTCACCTGCCAGAGACTATGTTACAAAACCAGAAGTCTTCAACACTCTGTTCAGTACAAACGATGTCCCCATCTCTGGATTAGCATTTTTAAGATTAATGATTTCATGGGATACGTTTTTGTATGAAGTTTGTTTCCATCTGTGAACCTTACTGGAACTAGTGTTCCCACTCTGATTTGCTTCCATACAATTTTACACAGACATGTAAAGCTCTCAAATTATATTAAAAATCTCCGATTTCTATAATACAAGCCACTGATTCACAAATACCTACTTTAAGTAATCAGGACAAGGCATGAGATGAAATACATTTGTCTGCTGATTCCCAGTTCCAGTGAAATAAGCTGTTGTCATCTTAGTCTGGCATATCAATGTTTAACTTGGGAGGTGGAATCACGTATTTTCCAGGACTCTGTGTAATGACCACTCCAGTCTTTTTTCGGAACATTGGTGCAATTTTTGGTGGTTCTGGAACTGGTGTTTCTTCTGCTTCCTCATTATCCTCATGATGAAGATCATAGGAAATATTTCCATATTCTCGTAAGAATGGGAAAATTTCAAGCAGAAACTGACAGAAGTCTTTTCGAATTCCAAACCACCCTTAAAAAAAAAAAAAATCCAGAATGGAATTAAATTTTAACTAAATAATCAGACTAAGCAGTCCTCTATTTTAAGTTCTCATGTAGCTTAATTTCTTTCATATTAACAGCTACAAAATTTCTGCTAGCGTTGCTTTTCAGTGTGTTGCTTATACCTGTAGTATAATAGCATTGCAGTTCAGATTATGATGTGAAATAATAGATCGCAGCTACACTGCAACAGCAAGAATCCATTCAATTTCGCGTTAAGTAGTGCCAGGTCATGTCAGTACATAGAAAGAACACAAGAGGCCTTACATCTCCCCAGCAAACGAAGGTCACATGAACGGACATTTAATGCCAGCTTTCGTTTGATATGCAGAGGATACAACAGCAGAAAGGATGTGATGGCACAGGCTTCACAGATTAGTACTGAGTGCACTCAGCATTCCACAAGTATTTGTGGTGTTAGCTAAATATGATGTGATGACAGAAGTACATCATCTTTGATATTAGCTGTACTACGTACATAAAAGCCATTTGACGCCAAGTGTCTCTGTGTGTCTGGGTTTTAAGGAAATGGTACTGGCGATTCAGTAGATGGCACTCTTCTATTAACCAAAGGGCAGCGTTAAAAGGAACAGCCTGCCCACTGAGTCAAATCGTTCACAGTGACCAAAGCCAAGGTATTAAGCATTTCCCAGGGAAGATCCCATTCGACATCTTTTTGCAGAGATTACACTTGATGATCAACTGGTGTATCTCATGTAACACTTCAAGATAACACGGAGATAAGGCTTTCCAAAAGACCATATGGACTCCAAATTATCAACAGCATTCAAATTTTTATTAAAATCACCAATACTAGTTTTCCATACAAGAACAGTATAAATGTGAACAGAACGTGTGAAGATAAGCTTACTTATAATCTAAAAAAGAGAAGTTCTTAATATACTTCACAATTAGACCAAAACCAAAGTGAATTTATAAAACAAAAACCACAGCTGCTTGCTTTCAACTCTGAAAGGTCGGAATAAATTTTATTGCCTTGTCAACAACCAACAGTAACTACAGCGTGGACAGGTCGAGCAACTCATCTGCACTGGTTCAATAACGCTAGAAGCTTGAAAGTGTTTACACCCCTTCTGGCAATGCTTTTGGGGGTGGCGGGGAGGGGTCTGGGGAGCGTGTGAAGAATGCAGGCCTAGTAAATCTCTACCTGACCACCTAGGCACATGAAGGTACAACTAAGCAGCACAGAGCACTGTTTGGCTAAAGAGGAAACAAAATACCAGTTTAGCCTACTAGGACAAGTCCTAGTTATAAATGGTAGCTGCTACACTATTTTCAGAACCCAGAGCAGAAAGATCCAGTCATGCCCCCTAAGCGTGAACTCCACAGAACTAAGGAAGCATAAAAGGCTGAGCTACAAGCAAAATCCCATTGGGAATGCTTGAGTCCAAGTAGAAAACTAGCTCTTATATCAATAAAAAGAAGAGATACTATGAACACTGAAAGCATTAAAATTATCTCAGCAGAACAGTAACAGATGCATCTGTCTAGTAATTCTTTTATGAGAAAAATATACCAAAAACAACACTTTAGGGAAAAATAAATCTTAATAAAAATACATTTGAGTCCTGAGTTTCCATCTGAGGGTGATGCAATTTTAGCCAGAAACGATAAGAAATACTTACAGTGATTTCCTCCTTTTTGTCCAAATGTTGTTGCCATTAAAGTTATCAGTGAAAGCCAAAGAGGGACAAATATGGGTATAAAAGAGAAAGAATTATGCCCATCCAGCCTGTGCACTAGTAAAATCTATTGGGGAAGGAAAAAGAATTATACAATGTCAGTTTTGTTGCAATATCGAGCTCCAAGCTTCTTAAAATCTATGCTGATCTCAGCTCTTTAACTTTACACGTTTGTGAAGAATGGCCTTCACAGAAACATGAAGTTACATGAAGTTCCAATACCTGAAGTATATTTTACTCAAAAAGCTGTTTGAAAAAAAAAAAAAAACCCCACAATCCACAACAAACACACCCAAAGAATTCCTGGGTTTTCTTCATATTTGCTGTTAAGATTTTATTCCAAAACAAAAAGCAATATCTTCAATTTAGCAAGTTCAAAAAGAGACAGAGCAACATCCATCACCCACTGAAAAAGAACAAGATACATAAAACTTGTACTTCTGCTTACCTCAAAGGTGAGAAGTGGAACTACAATTGTCATCCAGCTGACAGCCATTGTTATGTGTGTCCTTCTTTGTTCAGCAATCACATCCATTGAGCGCAAGAACAGAACAGACCATACGATGTAATATAGCACTACTAGACACAGAAAGGACATCAAGATCCACAAAGGAACGCAAACAACCTGAAGAAGAAAAAGAAAGTTGACTCCTTTTTCCCCCCCCCAGTGATACATTTTAACAATTTTGTTTGTTTGTTTGTTTTTATTAAACAAGTCCACATATTAAGTCTAAATGAGAAAAAATGAGGAAAAAACGTAATTTAAGTGTAATGCTCTATAACTAGTATCACCTCTAACAGAAAGGCTTCACAAATCACATGCACTGTTACAAGCCATATAACTCTTCTGGCCTGCTTGGTGAGCTCGTAAACCCTGACAAGCTGAAACAATTCAAGGTTTTGTCAACATACTTCAACTTGAATAAAACTTCTGTGATTTTGAGTGGGCTTTTTCAGTACTTGAAATTGAATTTAGCAAGTATCTTCTACACTGGACACCTGACTTGAAGCAGCTTAAGTGAGATCCTTTTCCTAATTTTTAGGAAAACGAAAAGGACAGTCACAACCATGCCAGATTACCAGCTTCATAGTAGTTTACAAAAACCTAGACACAGAAGTAGGGCTTTTGTATTGTAAAGCCACTTGGAAAGTAGATCTCAGCATATTTTGACACTAACTACTTGCATAGTAAGTGGATTTACATGCATGCTAATACAATAAATCAGTTATTTACCATGCGCTATTTGCCCAACACACTCCCTGACTCAACAATCATTTTTCTGGCTGGTTTTCTGTTCCAATTGGAAACTCCTTTAGGATTTTTTTCAAAAATGATTAGAGATTAATTGCAGTTGTTGGCACACCTCTCTCCCCCTGAAGAGTGAAACGCTATGCTCTTTCACCCAAAGAGCAACCTCCAATTTCCATGACTCCTGAATCAAATGCTAGACCTTCAGCGAAGGATTATTAAATGAGCAAAAATGGGATCAAGACCCTGTTCATATGTTAATTGTTCCCTATAGTCAATATCTGTATTAAATTCATCATTTATAAACAAAGTTAAGAAAAACACTTTTTACGTACAAGCCACGGCCATCTGATGATCTCGTCTAATCTGAGTGCAATGAATATGAACTGCAGAATATTGACTGAACACAAGATTTCCAGCTAGAAAGAGAAGAGAGAGAGTTCACTCTTAGCATTATAAATCTATTTACCAGATAGCCAAAGAATCTGTCAAAGGACTTTTCTGATTCCATACCTACGGTTTCAATATAGAACATTATTTGCATTTATATTAGACATTATTAAGCATGCCTAAATTTGGGAGGCTCTGATCCCAATACTGTTAACGTGGAGAGGTAGCTGTCTCGAGGAAAGTCCTTCCTTGTCCTTAGTGGGTGATTCTGAGCACTTAACCTCTCTCTAGTTACTACGCAGATATCCAAAATTAAGATAAGCATGGAAAATTTCCCTTCTTGCTGTGCACAGTAGCCAAAATAAAGAGATTCGAGAAATGTAGACTGGAAAAAAAATTTTAGTATCTAGCATAGAAATAAAAAAGCCAAAGTGATTAAAAAATAAATAAAAAACCAGAAGCCAAGAACCTAGAATCAAATTACAAACTATTTTCTTCAGATATGAAAGTTACATTTAAATTAACAAGTAAGAAAAAGTTATTTAATTAGCAATGTTTGTCTTTACTTTAAAAATCTCTCTTTTAGTAGTTGCAGTAATATACTAAACACTTCTCTTAGGTGATGAAAATTAACATGGATTTAACTAGGAGCACAACAGTCCAAGTGTCAGAGCTCTAACTCAGGGAAAAAAAAATACATATACTAATGAAATTCAACATCCAAACTCAATCATTTAATGGTATCAATGAGAGCATCTTTAAATTATGCTGAAGACATTTAGTTTATTAGGCAATATGCAAAAGCAATAGCTTTTATAAAAATATTAATGAAGGCCTTTCATGTGTCCTATTACCACTATCACAATTAACTCTAAATTATACTGAAAAAATAAGTTTGTGATTAGCTGAGAGAAAGCCAAATAATGAAATACCATCAAACTTACAAAGATTCCGTTTCTAAGTTTATGGGCCAACCTCAGCTGGGTAGGAATTTCAAAGATCAAGCAGAAAATTATCCTCTGAAAGGACTAACTGAAGCCCTTAAGTTAAATACTTTTTCTATTTTAAATTAAAATGTAGGTATGTATGACATCTTTGAAATGTAATATTTCTCAGAAGTCAGAAACTAGATGCTCCTTTACACCAACTTATATATGACTGCAGAATATATTCTCTTGGTTAAATGCCTTTGAAGTTTGTAGTACAGGGAGTTAAAAAAAAAAAAAAAACCAAAAAACAAAAAACAGGTG